GACATCCATTCAACTCTTCATCAATACATTAACTAATGAACATCAAGACAATAAGGAAATAAATTGAACATACAGTGATTTGCTACATAAGTTCAAGCAATAAGCACTTAATGGAGTTGTTGACAGAGTGAATTTACCTTACCATATCTAACATAAGCATTACTAAATCCTAACTATAGTAACACAAACATGGACATATCTGTCAGAGCTGACAAAGTAAACTTGGCAACTGTTCTTGTAAAGGACCTCCAATCAGTAGTTAACTGGGAAAGGAAATGGCTTGTAAATTTTAATGCCTCCAAAATAAAACTGCTCTCATTTAACCACTATAGAGAAACTTTTCTACTTGCCATAGAACAACACACTGCACTTTCTTGGCCTTACGTTAACTGACTTAAAGTAGAGTGACTACATCAAATCAATAGCTGCATCTACGACAAGGAAAATTAGGTCACTGTGTCATGCAAGAAAGTTTTCCTTGTTCAAGAGTCCATCTTACACATTTACAAATCTACCATTCATCTGTGCATTGAATGCAGCTGCCATATCTGGTCTAGTGCTCCTACTATTCATCACGAGTTTTTTGACAAAATCCAAAGAATAATCTGTAATGTAATTTATCTTGACTTGGCATCTCGATTTCAGTCACTTTCTCATGTTGATAATTACAATTACAATATTCAAAAAATTAAATGCAACATCAATCACCATCTTCTATCTTCTTGAATCCTGTTCATCTTTTGTCCTTTGTTCAATCCTCCCTATACTCAGTTTTTTCTCTCACTTTCATTCTCTGTAGACCCCTGCATACTAATAGCATTCCCGCTTTGAATATTTGAGAGAAAACACATATTTACAGAACTTGAATGCTACAATAATTTGTTCAAGCAGTGAACCAGAGATACATTAGCAGATATAGAAAAAAGAAGTGAATTAAGGTTTTACTTGATACTTGACTTGGTCATACACTGTGTCAGTGATGCTATTGGTCATGAATGGGGAAAGAAGCAGAGGACTAGAATAGATGTGTAATCATTTTGAGAGATTGGCACCAACTGGCAAGGTAACTTACATTTCATGCTTCTAGACAGGTTGTCATGTGATGAATTTGTTATTTTTTGACATGTCCATAAATTATCACTGAGTCAAGGGCAGATAATTAAGTTTTGTAATGCTATACAACAACAAACTGTGATATTTCACATCAATATTTAGAACTTTTAACCAGATATCTGAAGTACTTTCTTCAATTAGACTTACGAGGTGCATTCCAGATGCTTTGAGACTTCCCCAAGGAAGATTTATTAATTTCAAAGAAGTACAAAACTATAATCCTTCAAAGTAGGATCCCTGGCTTCAATGCACTTGTTATAGCACTCTAGACACTTCATGAAGGCCCTATGGAAGCCATCCAATATGAAAGTGTCCAGAAACCTTGTCATAATCTTTTTCATTTTCTCACTTTCTTCAAAACAACTACCCCTGAGATTCTTCTTCAGTTTGAAGAACAAGCAAAAGTCACAGGGAGCAAGGTCTGGGCTGTAGGGAAGGTGAGAGACAGTTTTGATGCCCATCTTTATCAACACAAAACTTTATTGCATAGCAAGCTTCCAAATTGTTTTTTATGTCCTGACTGTATTCTGCAAACTACTCAGCTGTTGACAAGCAATGTTTAGTAGGGTGTGTTCAAAGAGCTGTCACAGCCATCTCCATCTTTCCTTAATCTGGAATAACAAAGGTTGGCAGGTCAGCTTATTAGATGTATAGTAGATATACTAAAAATTATAATAATTTAAAACAGTTATTAACTACCTCTCCTAAAAGAAGTCTCAAAACTTCTGGAATGCTCCTGATACAAGTGTATACAACTTAGCAATGTACAAATAAATCCAAAAGTTATTATTATACTTTAAGTTCTGTCTTCTCTTTTCTATTTCACTTGTTAGTCCCTTTTTCTTGCTGTCATATTAATATTTTCAAAAAACACACGCACATATATATATATATATATATATATATATATATATATATATATATATATACTAGCTTAAAATCCGACCTATCAGGCAGCATTTAAGCTAGCTTCCATGGAGGGCTCTTGATTGTGCCTTCATCAAAATAGGTAAGTAGGAGCAGATGTGATAGGCATCAATAAACTACAGAAGTATTCAAAATTGATTGCTGCAATTAAGTATTGCATTAATATTTAATCTTACCTTTTAATAGTTCAACAATAATTCTTCTGCTGCCACTTAACTTAAAGGCAGTTTTATGTATGAAGGTCCTTACTTTCCATCCAAACAATTATTTTTATTTCATTTCACTGGATTTTGCAATTAATTTCAATTATTCCCAAATTTATTTCCGAGTTATAAAAATTGTTATCGTACAAAATAATTTGTTACAAAAATTACATAAAAAAAATCGCCGAATACAATCACGGCAATGAAAAGTTGGGAATCTAAAATTTCAAGATTGTGAGTCCAGATCTAGCCTGGAAAGTTTTTAATTTGCTCACAGGGTCAGCCTGATTTCTGAATGATGAGCCTTTAGGAGTAATGTTGAAAAAGTGTGACAGTGACACATTGACATTCTCATTTATTATATAGATATATAGGAATGTAGTAAAAAGCAGCAGGGCCAGTGCATATTACCCTCTAACCTCCCTGATCGGGCAGTCCAAGCCTGATTGTGAACCCTGAGCAGTGCTTTGTGACAATTGCTATCTTACCAACATTTGCTTTTTTCTACCTACATTTGTATACATTACAAATTAAACTAAGCATGACTGACTATTAAAGGATAAAAAATTTTTGCAGATTCTGATATTATTCTGGGATCTTTTTTTCATCCAAATCTGTGAATTTGTTTTGCTCATGTTAAGTCTTGAAAAAACAGAATATAAAATTCACTTATTTTCATCCGTAATGTTGAATGTGTGAAAATTATTCAACTTTTTAACAAGAAAAGTCTCAAGTTGATGCTAAAAATTCCTGCAAACCATTCTCGATTTATTTAAGATGGTGTAGAGGGCCGTAGCTGTAACGTTGTGGAGTCAGACATAGAAGAACACATGTAGGTTCAGATTTTTCCTGCTCGCTGGCCCAACTACATAAAAAGGTTGGACTTTGATTAAGTCCAAAGAAGAAGGCAAAGAGAAACAAACACAAGACTGATAATACATGTATACAAATATATATTAATAACAAGTTACATGAAAACAGTTACAAAGGACAAAGTGTGTGTGTGTATATTCTGTATGTGTGTGTATTGTGCTTAATGTGTTCCCATGCTATCCCTTGTTAGCGCCTACATTTCAAGGTTGTAAGCTGAAAGCCTGAGGAAAAAGAGAGATTTACCTCCAGGTGTTGACGCGAATCCTGAGGGAAAAAAGAGAAAGAGGCGAAGGGTCAGCGGCTATTTATAGCAGCGAAGAGCGACCCCTGGTGAAAGGGTTACGAACTGAAGGAGGAGTTAACTCCGACAATGGAATGATTTATTGTAACATGTCTCTAATTTGTATTTAGATACATTGTATTTATTTTCAATTTTTCTAGTTGTATTTTCACCTATATTGCATATGATTCATTATTGTACATAAATTTAAATATCCATAATAAGATAGATAGAAAGAAAGAAATAAACAGACTATGATAGCTAGCTAGCTAGATAGATAGATAGATATTGAACAGAACTAGAAAGAAAGAAAGAAAGAAAGAAAGAAAGAAAGAAGAGTGTCTACCTATCTTTTGTAGACTAATTTGATAGTTTAAACTCCATTGGATACCACTTCTATGGGCTTGTGGCCAGAGAAAGATAAGCTAAAATAATTACAGTGTAACCCGGATATAAGAGAAACCCGGATATAAGAGAGATTTTCTCTGGTCCCAAATTAGAGCCCATACTTACCTAAACAAAATAGACCAAACCCGGATATAAGAGAAACCCGGATATAAGAGATTTCTTCTCCAGTCTCGACAACTCTCTTATATCCGGGTTACACTGTATAAAGAATAAATCCAATGTATAAGTGACTGGTAAGAAGACAGGTTGCATGGTCTTTAGCAAAAGGATGAGTCCAAAATACAAATTATAAATTGGAAATACCAAAATCAAACAAGTACAAAAATATAAATATGTGGGAGTTGTTCTAATAGAAGATGAAAAGTCCAACACTGAAATCCGAAAACGTATTGGGATGGCTAAAGTGCATTCCAAAAGCTAATCAGAGTATTAAGAGACTGAAAAACATTGTTAGAAAGAAAGAAAAGAGTATTGAACTGTTACATGACATCTGTCCTTGTATATAGCAGTGAATGCTGAACAATCTCCTCAAAGATGAAGAGACTTGAAGAAACAGAAATGTGGTTCTACAGAACGATGCTGAAGATAACATGGACCAAATACATGAGCAACAACAGCGTTTTACAGAAAATGGAAACAAAAAGGAAATTTATACTTAGCATCAGGAAGAGATTGTTGAAATTTCTAGGGCACATAACAAAGAAAGAGGGCTTGGAAAATCTGATACTCACAGGACAGACTGAAGGCAAAAGAGACAGAAGAAAACACTGCATAAACTACCTAGAAAGCTTGAGTAAATGGATGGTAGAAGTAGGTTTAAGAGAAATAACAAAAATACAAAATTGATGAAGAAGAGCTACAAAGAACAAGAAATTGTGGAAAGCCTACGTCGCTTAAAGAAAATGATGTGTTACTTTTTTTACTCGACCCTTATGTAATTTAAAAAAAAACTGTTTCTGTTAAATATAAGATAAATTGAAAACGGTGATTTGATTTTCTTTTTCTTTCATCCGCATTTATTCATTTTTTTTAGTTACATCCAAACGTTTTATGCGTATGCAATTAGTTGTAAATTAGAAACGTTTCCCGTCACCTTCCCTCGGTAATAATTACACAGGTTAATAATTGGGGTAACACCGTGTACAGTTTATCGACCGGAAAAATAATGTAACGTAAACAACATGAGAGTTAAGAAGATGATATTCCGTTGGGAGGTTTTTATATTCTTCCTTTTTTTCTTATATGCTGCTTTTTCTGGTATGTGTAAAAAGAAAAAAAAAAGATTTTTTTTATTATATCCTTCAATAATTCTACTCTTATTTTTATATTTAGTATCAACTATAGTTTTACTTTTACTACACTGAATTTGCACCCCAAATCTTTTTTCTTTCTCCCCACGAAAGATCATATACTCAATTATTTCAGATACAATTATATTATTTAATACACAAAAAATTAGAATTTTATTTAAATGAATGGTATTCTATTTATTTTAATCTAACTTGTATTGATTCGGTTTTGTTATGGCCAAACCAAACAAGTTCTTTTTAAATTTTAAAATCATTTAAATTTTGTTCTAGTAAATTAAAAATTTTAAAAAATCATTAAGAAAATTCATAATTTCATCTTGTGGACAGAAACTAAAATGTGAGAGAGAAAATATTTTAATTTAAAATTGTTAATAAATATTTTTTAACCAAAATTTTTACCATGATTTCTTCAGGAAAGATAGTGGAGTTGTTTAGTTTCCTGTTGCCTACTACAGAGTTTTGAATTCAAAGTAGTCCTCACTGTACAGGTTGTGATGAGTAAATTGTCGCCATTCTATATTTTTAATTTCCTCACATGTGTGTTGCTTGTTTTTTTTTTTATTTTATCAACTGCACAATATAGTAGGGTTAGTTGGGCACCGTCTGTGAGAAAAAGAACACCATGACGCAATTGGCATGATGTACTTGTACTGCTTGGCATTTGTGCTGGAAGCTCCAATATGAACACTTCAGCAGAGTGTTTGGGTGTCAATCTAAGGATTCAAAAAGTCTAGTGATTACGAAAGGTGTTTGAAATGATCACTAGTGATGGCGATGTTATGCCTCCATTCATCTTCCCACGGGGTCTCAGACTCAACACAGAGGCCTACATCAAGTGCCTTGAGAAGGTAGTGCTGCCCTGGGTGAAGAGGGTGGTATGCTGGATGACCCTATGTCTGGCAATAGAACTTTGCACTATGCCACACAAGCAGAAGAACCCAATCATGACTGTCAGATAATTTCTGTGACAGCATCATCTCTTACATCTGGCCACCTAACTTCCCAGACTGCAACCCCCTTGATTATTATGTATGGGGCACAGTTGACCCACAAAATTCCTTTGTAAGACCAAAGATGAACTGAAGGCAAGGATTATGGCATCATTCACCAACTTAAACAAGGAGACTGTCCGGAAGAGTTGCAGGAGAGTCCAAAGTCATCTGAAGGCCATTGTTGATGCCAATGGTGATTTTATTGAATAAATTTACTCTTTAGTATGTCAAGAGATTTTTGTGTAATTTTGGTAAACATCTGTTAAAATGAGATGTCAGTGGTATTTTCATTTTTGCATAATTTAGAGGACAATTTATCCATCGCACGCTGTATGTGTTGTTTATAGAGGCTACAAATCATGATATAGGGTTGTCATTTTTGCAAGCTTAACATGATAAAAAATAAGTTTATGAATTAATAAACTATATCCAATCGAGTAAATATTTTAATAACATTGATTTTTTTTTAATTATTTCAGATAGTGATGTCTTAACTATAAAGATTGTTGAGGATATAGACAATAACTGGTAAGTGACTGTTGAATTTTGCTAACAGCTTTTTAAATATTTTTTTTCTTGAACATTAACATCAGAACTACAGCAAAGAATCCAAGCATTAAAAAGGAGATATTACATAATTGTTCCAGACATCTTCTATGTAGACCACATCACAAAAGACATAGTGCAAGATACCATCAGACAAGAAGCAATCTTGTTAAGAAGTGGTTGGCAATCAAGGCTAAAGATCCTAGTATATCTTTCTGATGATATATATTGAAGGCATTACATTTTGTATTGTCCCTTGTAAAATTTTAAAACAAATCTATGTCTGTTTACTCTCATTTTCTCTCTTTTCACTCTCATTTTCTCTCTTTTCACTCTCATTTTCTCTTCACTCATTTTCTCTCTTTTCACTCTCATTTTCTCTTCACTCATTTTCTCTCTTTTCACTCTCATTTTCTCTCTTTTCACTCTCATTTTCTCTTCACCCATTTTCTCTCTTTTCTCTCTGATTATTCTCATTTTCTCTCTGTTTACTCTCATTTTCTTTTCACTCTCATTTTCTCTCTGTTTACTCTCATTTTCTTTTCACTCTCATTTTCTCTCTGTTTACTCTCATTTTCTTTTCACTCTCATTTTCTCTCTGTTTACTCTCATTTTCTCTCTGTTTACTCTCATTTTCTTTTCACTCTCATTTTCTCTCTGATTTACTCTCATTTTCTCTTCACTCTCATTTTCTCTCTGTTTACTCTCATTTTCTTTTCACTCTCATTTTCTCTCTGATTTACTCTCATTTTCTCTCTGTTTACTCTCATTTTCTTTTCACTCTCATTTTCTCTCTTTTCTCTCTGTTTACTCATTTTCTTTTCTCTCTGATTTACTCTCATTTTCTCTCTGTTTACTCTCATTTTCTTTTCACTCTCATTTTCTCTCTTTTCTCTCTGTTTACTCTCATTTTCTTTTCACTCTCATTTTCTCCTTTTCTCTCTGTTTACTCTCATTTTCTCTCTTTTCAGGGCAAACAATTTATGGAATCAGCCACAGACAAAACTGACCTTGGAGCCAAAAGTAAAAGAAGCCAATTTCTCAGGCCCTTCACATTTTAAATCTTTATTGGGAAAGTGTTATGAAAAAGTTACCACTTCGTACGTTTGACTTTGTTTTATTTTCTTGTTTTTGTTTTCGTTTTTTTAATCATAGAAGGTGGCAAGTTAGGAGTAATGTTAGGAGACATGGTGGAGTAAAGGATAGCAACTCTGATAAAAGAATCAAAAGTCGAGTTTGAATTCCAGCCAAGTTTTTTACATTCTTCCCATAATCAAATCTTTTTCTGATTTACATTACACTAATTTCCACCACTAGCTGAATGTGAATGCTCCAAACACCCAAAACTCAACTAAAAATCTGTCAACTGCACAAGACTGTATACATATACTCTGTTAACTCACACACTCAAGAGAAAAAATAGCAATACAATCCAGAATTTATTTACATTGTTTGGAATGTTGTACTCATCTTTATTACCATACTAGCAGTAGAGCCCGGCATTGCCCGGGGATGTAACAGTAAGAGAGAGATCAAGTATCAACCATCATAAAGACTGAAAAATAAAATTGACAAAGATTATTGTTTAAGGTTGACAGACACGCATGTCTTAGTTTTTTTTTTTTAACGAATTGGTCAAACCCAAACAAAAACAAAAACATTGTTTTCAATTGTTATGAGTCTACCGATTGAATAGAATTTTATTATAAACAATTGTCTTGTAAATGGAATTTTTAAAGCATTCTGAATGTAAAAATAAAGAAAAAAGTGTGCAAGACAATAAGAAACACTACCTGCCAAAAAAAAAAAGTGAAGTTTTGTTGAAATTGGTATGAAATCCAATCCCATATATAAATGAACACACACATACAAACAACCTCGACATGAGTTGTCCCCCTTTCATTCTGGCGACAGAATCGTGTTTTCAAATTGATTTCATGCAAAAACAATTGGGTTTTTCCAATTTTTGGTGCTGTCAGAACCACCGCAAGGTAATTTTAGGTAGTCCTGTGAAGTTTTGTTAAAATTGGTTGAAAAATGTAGGAAATCCAATCCAATATATAAACGTACAGACACACACACACACACACACACAATCTGCGTTTTATAATAAGTAAGATTCACAACATTTCAGCTGTTGTACACTCTGGCTTTCTTCAGGTGATTGGAATGTGTCCTCAAGAACCAGTGGATAAAAGTGTTGGTTTATTTTCCTGTTTCTTAATACTCTGCTTAGCTTTTGAAAGTCATTTTTGGCTCCCCCAATGCACCTTTGGATTTCAGTATTACTCTTTCTGTCCTATTAAAGCACTTCCTAGATATTTAAATTTTTGTACTCATTTGATTTTGGTTTCTCCAATTTGCAATTCACACATTGGGCTTGTCCTTTTGCTAATAACCATACATTTTGTCTTTTTGCAGTTGATATTTAGTCCTTTCTTCTTGCTTTCCTCCACTACCTTCTGTTGGAAAAAGTGAAAACATTGGGACTACTTCAAAAATTGCATCCTATTTTTGTTAAAATTCTAAATCTGTACTTTATTCAGTTGTTCCATTAATGGAGACAAAATAAAACCCTATTCAAATGTAAGAAAAGTTAATTGTATTTGTCAAGCATATAAATATTGAGGCAAGCTCATAATAAAAAACAAATTCTTTTATCCCTTGTTGAAAAAAACCACGGATTCTGAATGAAAAAACCTGTATCAACATCTAAACCAATATTTCAATCCTGTAAGGTCTTAACAAACAGCCAATGGAATGTAAAAAGAAAGAATAAAAGCAGTGGGAAAGGTGGGGAGAATCAAATCTCTTATCAATCACGTTATAAGTACTTTTAGAGGTACTAACAAAAAGACAAGATTATTACTCTGTTATGGTAATTTACCCATGCACGCATATACTCTCCCAGCTATAAAAAGGAGCAGGTACTGCTTTTGTGAGGGAAGTTTCCACCGGTCAGCTCTGACAGTCGGACCAAACATTCTTGCTGTAACAGTCTCGTTTGTATATGTTTGTAATACTGTTTCTGTTAATATATTTGTTTAACTCAATTCCTCTCTTGTGTCTTTATTTCTGGTCCTAACAAGGCCACAATATACTCATAGTGAAACTTGCGAAGAAACAAATATTTATACAAAAAAAATGTTTACACTATGCAAATTGTACAAAATGCAATATCGGCCTTACACAAAATTTTCCTTGTATGCCTCAAACTACCCAGGCAGATTAACATTTCTTTAAAATGCAACTATGCTTTCTCTTAGAAAAAAACAGTTTATGAAAAACAAACATTTTCCTTAACAACAAAGGAATTTTAGTTACTTTTTTTTTTTTTAGAACAGCAGTTCATGTTAATCATTTTCTTTAGCAACAAATGAAATTTACTTTGAAAAGTTCAAGTTCAAAGGCATGAGAAAGGACGACTTACCTCAGGTAATATTGATGACTTACCTCGGGTAATATTGATCCTTTGAATCCTTTAAACAAAATATTCAGATTTTTAGAATAGACATTCTCAAGTATGAGATAAACTCATAAGTTTAGAAAAGACATTCATTGTAATGAGAATTCTTGTAGGTTTTTAGGGTTCTTATTTTTCTTTCTTCTTCTCCTTCTTTGGCAGCATCAACAGCAGCAGCAGCCTTTATCATCGCTTTTCTCACCTGAGTGATCATTTCCTTTTTCATCACAAGATACTCCTTTCTCCCAAGCAGTTTTATCTTTTTTTACCTGAGGTGGTCAATTCGCTTTCCTTAGGAGGCTTATGCTTTTTATCCTCATTGGTTAAAAACTCAAGAATCACTATCCAATCAAACTGCACCCATTTACAACTTAAAATTTGGCAGGTTTTTGATTTGAGCCTATCTTTTGTAAATCTGTTTAGGCTGCCTTGCTTCATTTTGGCAGTTTTTTTATAACATTAATTTGGAGCCATGTTTTTTCAAATCTTTGCACATCAATTTTCATTCCTGTTTTTTTTTTAACCATCTGGCTTCATTTTGTCAGTTTCTTTTTCAAAGAAACTGTTATTAACATTATACTTTTCTTACTTAATTTTTTATACAATTTCATATTATTCATTTTATTGAAAATAATTTTTATATTAATTTTTACACATTCCAACACTTTTTTCCATACCATTTTAATATTATCTATTTTATTCAAATTAATTTATATCTTAATTTTTACCGAACATTTTAATTATTTTTCTCATACAATTTTAATATTATCTGTTTTATTAAAAATAATTTTTATAGATGAGATAAGTTTAATTTCTGTCTGAATTTCTTGGCTTAGCAACAGTAAGAAAGAGAAACAGGAGGCAAAGAGGTCAAGCATGACATCAAGGCAGCTGCAGTAACAGGAAAACAATATGAACATTAGGTTTAAGGTTTCTAGTTCTAGATTCAGGATTATCACAGGGAATAATAGCCTAAAGGATTAAAACATTAGTTCATGAATTTGGTGGCATAGTTATAGAGTTCAATACTTGGACTGGATAGTATAGACTCAGTGGAAACAAAGCTGAGCAATACCATGTTCACCTTTTTAATATATTTTGGAATGTCATTCCTTTGTTCTAAAATCATCGAACACTGTGGTTCTTCACCATTTTTAGTTCATGTGGCCTTTTCTATATATTTTAGAATGTCATTCCTTCTTTCCAAGATTATCAAACTCTATAGTTCCCAACCATTTTGAGCCCATGTACCCTTTTCAATATATTTTAGAATGCTATTTCTTTGTTCCAGGATTATCAAACTCTGTGGTTCTTAACTGTTTTCGTTCACACAGCCTTTTCAATATATTTTAGAATGTCATTCCTTCTTTCCAAAATTATCAAACTCTTGTTCTCAGCCATTTTAGGCCATTTTTAATTTGTGCACCTTTTCAGACAAAGACAAAAATATCTCTTATAAGATTGAGTTAAATATAAACTATTAATATGAAACCTTTCAAAATTAAATTGATATGAAGTCATTCATTTATTTTCTGCTTTCTTGAATCATTTGAAATTTATAATCAAGAAATACCAATCTGAAAAGAAAATACTTTCAGCCATGTTTTTTGATAAAGAATTCTTTAAAACAGTGGTCCTTAAGCATTTTCAAGCTATGCATTCTTTTTGACATATTTTAGAATTTCATTCTCCACTTTCAAAATTTCCTAACTCAAAAGCCTCATTGTAAAAAGATCAATATGTTTTCATATGCTAATCTATGATTCCAATTTCCTCCAAGAGAGGAAATTCCTTCTTGCTTAAGAACCTCTCTAAATTATCAATTATAACTTCTGTTTTCTTAATTGCTTCAATATTTTTCCACAGGTACAGATATGTGTTTTGTCCATTCCGTAATGTCACACAGCATGAAATATCCCTGCAGTGGAAACCCTACAATGGAATATTAGGGTGAGATATACTTTACTTTACTCCACAAAAATATTGATTGGGAAATTATTGCTTTGAAAAAATGATTTTCTTTCTTGATAGTAAGCATTTTGGTTGTATTGAAAAAATACATTTCTTAGCAAATATATTTGATAAATTGGGACCCAGCCATGATTAATCTAGGACCAGATTATCCTTTAGGTTAGTGCAGGCAGTAACCTTGGGCCCCTCAAGCTTTTATAAAGCTGTGATTTTAATTTTCAACATGTTATATCTTCTAAATAATTTCATAAACTGAAATGATATCAGTTTGGCAAACTCATATTTATTTGACTTTGCAGGAAGCAAAGAAAAGAAAAGAATATTTTAGTTTGAGTCTGTGGCGGACATGAGACGGAACCTGGGACTAGCACAACTGGTCGCGACTTGCCTTGTCCCCGCCAAAAAAGAGCCCATATTTGCTTAGCATGTAAAGCTACTGCAGTTGAAATGAGGGAGAAAAAAGCACTTACCGCTCTGCCGTAATCTGTCCTCGGCCAGATAACGTAAAAGAATGAGGGGGGACTTGCATTGCATTTTTATGCAATAAAGATGCAATGAATTATGGGATCACATGAAGACGCAAGGGATTATGGGTATATGGACAAATATAAAAGCAGCTACTTTTTTCCCAGTGGGGCAGTTCTTCGAGTGACGTTCACGGTTGGCGGCAAGAACAGTCTGTTAGTGTGATTTTGAGACAGAACTCAAGAAGGAACAACTCAAGGTTGAAATACCAGCTGGGAGAGCTTGAATTTACTCGCTGGTTGCTGTTTTCTTTATTTCGCCTCAGAGTCATTGTGTTTCAAGTAGATGACATCTTTGATTTTATTTCAGAATGTTTAAATCTTAGAATTTTTTATAAAGCTGGGATTTTAATTTTCTAGATGTTATAACTTCTAAATAGTTTAATAAACTGAAATGATATCAATATGACAAACTCATTTATTTTGATTGCTTTACTGTTATAATGTTGGTTTTAAAAAATCTGTTTTGTGCTATGGTTGTGTGGAAATATGTGCTAATTCAGTTTGCAATAAATAGTAAAATAGTGAAGGTATTTCTTGAAGAATATCTTTTATTAACAAATAAAAGATGTCTGTCTATATTTCTGAGATGAGGTATTATGTACACTATTTACATTATTCAGACTATTGTACTTATTTTTGTCGCCATATTTATTACAATACTCAGTTAAGGCAGTGGAGAACTTGGTGAGGGGAATTAACAGGAGATAACTGATAACTGACATCCATTAAACATGGCACGTGGAACTAGAACAGTCTACCCCAGTGAGCAAAATAAAGGGTTCAGTTCGACATTCCAACCACCTGAAGAAGGCTGGAGCATACAATAGCCGAAACATTGTAATAAATATGGCAACAAAGATGAGGACAATAGTCCAAATAGTGTAAATAAAAGATAGCTATTGTAGTTTATTTAAAGAATTTGCAAGCTATGTAAATACATCACAAATAAAAAAAAAAAATAAAAAAAATGTGTGCAAGTGAATTAGAAGGTTGCACTGTTGGTGGGGGCAGGGTATAATTTCATTAGCCTAGGGCAAGGATGGCCAACCTGTGGCGCATGTGCCATAAGTGGCGCATTGGATGCTTACAAGTGGCGCATTGCATCCTTTTGATGAAAAGAAACTAGCCACTTCTACTCATTCATTTCAGTGATTTTATATTTATTGCACATTCAAAACTCCTGGATACGTTCCTGGTTATAAGCATATAATTTTTCAAATAAATAGATTTCAAATAAAATATTGGCGCATGGAATCAAAAGGTTGGCCACCCCTGGCCTAGGGGCTCCAGAAGGTCATAATCTGGCCCTGGTAATGGCAATACTAGTTGTTTCCCTACAAGGAAATATTTGGCATTCCCTGTCTGAGCAGCCAGTGCTACTTTAAGTTGAAATTTAGAAAATTTTCTCTTAAAACAATTTTTCAGGAAAATACATTTCTCAAGTCCAGTAGCTGTTATTGCTCTTTCCATTATTCATGGGGGTTTTCCTAACTAACCTTTTAATTGAAGTAGTATGGAGTGTCAACATCTTGATTATGTAATTATTTTCTCTTCCAGTTACACGTACTATCCATTTTAGTTGTTGCTGTTGTTGGTAGTCCTCAAGTGATAATGTTTTTGTTATTTGGTACAGGTCTTTGTGATTTCATCTTGCCAGTCCACAATTTTTGAAAAAGAATGACTTTCACCAAGACCCACTTCACTTGCACAAAGCCATTTTTAACCATTGATCTGAGGAAGCAGTTGCATACAGTTGACAGTTTACATATTTCTGAATTTATTTGGCACCATGCATGACATCCACATGAAAGTCTCTCGATCTGACAAGACATGACTCAAGTTTTCAGTTTGATGTTTTGGTTTTGTAGCAATTTGCAGTGCCAGCTGAAACTACCTCTAGTGCAGCCTATTATATGTTAAATTTCTTTTTCTCCTATACTAAATTCGTTATACCTGATCTATATGTCAAGTTATTTGAAGTGTTTAGTATATACTAATTCCACATCCTGAATGGATGAGAACACCCACAAAGTCAAGTGGATAGTAAACGATTTTATCTGAGCCTGAAGTGTCTATTGTTTTATAACTGGCATTAAAACACATGAAGTCAGATGTTCAAAGCAGGCACCTGCTGACTGAAGGGAAAATGAAACAAATAAATGAAAATTTTTGAGATCAGGTGTCACTTGGCCAGAAGATAGGAATTTCCAATCATAAGCTTATATAGGCAGTCCCAGGATTGTCAATTGTGTGCTGCATGTCATGATGTAGAGATGGACAGAGATAGGAAAGAATTCTTGCTAGTCCAAGGAGAGATCTGACCAGGTAGTCTGTCATTAGAGAAGACAGAAGTAGCAGTGAAAATATCCCAAGGGTCACCTACCTACTCCCAGAGTGTGCCAGACAATCTTTAAATAAGTAACCTACTATGTTAAAAACAGGATTTTCATCAATTGCTGTGGCAATATTTTCAGTTTTTGTTCCTTTGTTGACCACACACAGGCTTTTCCTGGTTTTTGCTCTGGAAAAACTGAGAGAAAGCCTTAATATATGCTTGCATATTTTGGATTCTATGTATTTTTCTGTTTTCCAGGATTTTTCAATTGTTTAATTTTTCACCAGACGTGTTCTAAATTCTCATTGACTTTACTACAACAATAAGCATCAGTCAGTCAGTTATGTGCCATGCGTGATACACACTTAGGCAATCATGTATTTTCAATACATGACTGATGAGGCAGATTTTTTCCATGCAGTAGGTTGCTATTTTTTTCTGCTGTAGACCAGTTACCATCCAAGGCTATAGAACCCGGTCTGTCCTGTTATTTACCCATAGCTATGTTGGAGAAGAAAAGGATTCATACCTTTCTCAAGGGTATCAGCACGTAAGTGAATATAATGGATTCAACTGAAATTTGAACTCGGCTCTCCAATTCCTCAATCCAAGCTGCTATCCATTACTCAACTGTGCCTCCTAATTATAGTTATCTTATAAAATAATGTGGGGGAGGTTACTCCCATCATACCTGCCAAAGACACCTGTTAGATGGCACTGTTTCAAGATATAAAAGGACAGTACAATAAACTCTTTTCCTCTCTTTTGCTTTGAAATGTAGTAATGAAAACAACATCACTTCTCTGCCACTGGGGAAGATTTCTTCTCCCAGTTGACTGTTTTCTTAATTTCAGCCAGCCACATTACATACACATTTTCTAACAGAAAAACCTGTAAATGATTTTTTTTTCTTTTTTCAGCTATATATATACACAATATAATTTTATTCTTTTGTGAGCTAAGTTCTTCTTTATATAAACATATATGTAAAATTCCTCCTCATGTTAAAATTAATTTCTTTTGAAAATGTCAACTTCATTTACTTTGAAAGTTTTCTACCCCAGTTGAAAAAAGTAGTAAACTCCTCATCTACAAACAGGTGACCAATACCAACAGCATCCATTACAAACCTTGTCTGAGAGTGTCGTCAGATCCCTGTCATGGCAATCAATTATAACTGGTTGGTTTGCTGCACTAGTTATAAGCAGATGTATTAGGGAATTTGTTAGGATCAGTTGATTATGTCATACCCAAAAACAAGTGCCAACAAGGCCAGTAGATTTCTCTGTCCTCCTTCACTTGAACAGACATTAAGTCCTTTGACAATGATCATCAGTAACCTGCTCCAAATTCAGAATATATTTTCCAATAAATGCAGTATTTTAAATAGACAACAATTTAGATTTGAAAATTGATCATCTTGCCATCAAACTAGTATCATAAATACCTGTTCAATGATTACAATAATGTAGATAAAATAAACTTGTCTGGGGAGTTTCTTATATCACCTTGTATATTAAAGATTAGAATTGTAGTGAGCAAATTTATTACTCCATATTGATTTCATTTTTTATGAAAATAACACTTGTATTTGAACAGATTGTTTTATGTTGGGATCTGCCATATTTAATGGCATAACCTACTTCACCTATTTAGATTCAAAATAGTTTTATAACAGTTTTATTGAATGAGGCTAAGTACAATTCCTCATACAAGTGTCTGGGTAAATATTAACAAATAAGATATTTCAATTTCAAATCTAGGATCCAGGAGATATTTTTATTTTCATTTTTATATGCCATCAAAATTGGAAGTCTATAATCTGGTCTGATACTTCTGCTATATATTTAAAGATTCTTGATAAAATGCAAAGAATAATATGCAATATTATTGGTCCTGGCATCTTCGCTTCAGTCAGTTTCCCACTGCTGTAACATAACATCCCTGTGCCTTTTCTATAAATACTTTCACGGTAATTGTTCTAATGAACTTTCCTCTATGGTACCTAGACTTTACAAATTTCAATGCAGTACTAGAGTGGTGGCCAGGTCTCGTCATCTTTCCTGTCAATCTTCGTTTCAGTCCTTTTCCTACTGCCATAATGTGGCTTCCCTGTGCCTTTTCTATAAATACTTTCATGGTAATTATTCTGATGAATTTTTCTCATTGGGGTTAGATTTATAAATTGTGGTTTTATCCCCTATCTCAAACAAAAATTGTACATATGGGGACTAGTTAGAACTTCATAGAGATTCTGATGTGTAATTGTGGATGTAGTAAGAATGTGTTGTTTTAGTGTAAAGAATATTATAGTATGTTTGTGTCAGTGATTGTGGCTAGTTAAGTTTAATTATAAGACAGAAGATCTGCCTTCCCCATCCCCCTTTATGTCCTTGTGCCACATTTTTGTATTTTATTACAAATTAAATATCACTTTCCTCTTTGGTATTTCAACTTTACAAATTTAAGAACAGTACTAAATCAACAGCTAGGTTTTGTTTTACTGTTGATGCTAACAGTTTCTTCTCTCACATATTGAGAACTTATAGAACTCTCTTCTGGCTTTTTGCTTTTCAATCAACTGTGATCTTCAAATATTTAAATGCAGTGTCAATTGTTATATTCTGTTTTCTTAAATCCTATTCTTCTATACCTTCTCTCCCCTTAATAATGTTTCCTTTTTTAATATTCTCTTACAGTCAGTAACTGTTTGAGTATCAGTGGCTTTATTGCTTTGCTTAGGATGAAATGATTAAAAGAGAAAAATAAGTAAATGTTAATTTCATTTTAAACCTTAAAGCTTCATTCTTATTAAAAAAGTACATTTTTTAAAGACTAATTTTAAAATAAAAATATTTTTACAATAATTCCAGAGTGTGGCAGGAGTGGGAGATTGAGAATAACACATTCAGTGCCATGTTAATGAGAGACGGTGACAAATGTGGAAGTATTTATCGGTCTGTAAGGGTGAGTTTTTATCCTTCCAGTTTATTGTTACCACTCCATCACAAATGACTATGGAAGAATATAATATATAATCTCTCTCTCTCTCTCTCTATATATATATATATATATGATGATATTAGTAATCAGTATGGATATTTCCAAAAGGATATAAATCCATTGGGGGCTCTATGTCAGAGACAGAGCAATAATTATTATTAAAAGGCATGAACTCTTAAAATTTAATGAGGTTATATTTATTTCATTAGGGTCATAAAAACAGCCCCAATTCATCAGACCTTCAAATCCAAAAGCTTTTGAATTTGAAGGTCTGATGAATTTGGACATATATATATATATATATATATATATATATATATATATATATATAGGCAGTATATTTTCATCCAAGCATGTTTAGTTATATAATTTAGACATATTCTGTCTATTTATTTTAGTTTTAATCCTTTCAAGTCCATAAATTAATTTCTTGTTGGCTGTAGAAAATTGATTTTCCATTCAATGTATCTAATTCAAAAGATATCAATTTTATTTGGATTTATTCTTGAAATAGTAAAATTTTAAAGTCAGTTTGTAAGAAAAAATCTGCAGAAATTACATATTTCTGTACATTTTTTCAGATGATCTTTAAAACTAAATGCTCAAAAATTATAGAAAAGCTATGAATTGAGTTTTTGGTGGCAATAATTAGCACATCAAAGTCCTGACATTCACACTGAGTGCAATGCTGATTTTCTAAAAAAGAAATGAAAAATCAACCTGCCCTAATGTACAAATACACTTTGACAGTGATGTGCATAGGTTTGGTGATGCCCAGGGCCAATTCCTTGATTGTATGCCCCTAAGGCACAAGAAGAAGGGCCTACTCCAGTCTCACTTATCAAAACACAGATCCACTTTCACACCAGCTTGTGGAACTGTAGGACACTTGTGCAATGAAATCAAATTTCAAAAACTACATTTTTATAAACACTCTTTGATTGGATGTCCTCTCAATATGCCCAGGACTGCAGTAGCTTCTTCCCCTCACACTTCTACACACTACTGCTCTTGAGAAAGGTATAAATCAATATTTTGCTTTTACACTATTTATGAAAAAATAGTAGATATGAACAAATATTCAGTCAGGAATGCAGCAGCTGGGAAGATGGGACAAAAACAAGATTGTTGTTAAGGAAAATAGTTCCAATATAGTATGAAAAATACTGCAACTATATATTATCAAGAAAACCAGGTGAAATCAGGTTTGAAGACACAGTATACATTCTGATGAAAATCTTTAGTGACAAGAGCTCTCTATTTAATGCTCGTTGGAGGCGCTTGAATCTAACCAAAAAAGATAAAGATTTTGTCATGTATGTTAGTATTGTCAACAAAGAATGTGAAAGGTGTAGAATAAACAAAGTGAATCCAGATATGTTCAAAAGGGTTAATTTTCGTGCATGGTTTAACAGCTAAAAAGATGCTGAAATACGAGTGAAAATTGAACAAAACTGTAATATTACAATGCAAGAAATAGTGGTGAATTGCCAGACAATTCTAAATCTGAAACACAATGCTGAAGAAATTCAGAAAAAAGAATGTGCATTGGTACAAACAAAGGAAAAATGTACAAAAAAAAGGAGAATAAATCCTTGTTTAAGATGTGGTAAATTGCATCTTGGAAAAACCTGTCCATTTAAAAATGCAGAATGTTACAAGTGTGGTAAATGAGAACATATAAAGTCACACTGCAAAACTAAGAAAAAATTCTCATTGGAAGAAATTAGTACAATGGATAAATGGCCACAGAAAACAAAAGGAAATTTGTAAATGTGAAAATAAATGTGGGTGAAAAAATGCTACTAGACACTGGCAGTGATATTTCTATAATCAGTGAAACATTAAAAAGATTTTCCAAAGTCATGAATTCATTTTCTGGTAAGAAATTATTTTCTTTTGAGAAATGACTTGTAATGTCTCATTCTGTAATAAGCATGTAAAAACTAAAGCTTATGTATTAAGAAAGGCTATGAATTTATTCTGAACAACTGGATAGAACTACTTAAACTTTGGAATTTACCAATAAATGTTTATTGTAAAAATGTAAGTGGACAAGTGACTAATTTAAAAAGTCAAAGCGAAACTCTTAAGGAAGAATTAAAAAAATGTTATCAAGATGTTCTGTCAAATGAACTGGGTTGGTGTTAAAAATTCAAGGCAGATTTTCAAGTAAAAAAGGTTCAATGCCGGTATTTAAGCTGAAACGGACTGTACCCATTTGCAGCTTTAAAACAAGGTAATTAAGAGTTGGACAGACTCAAAAGAATCAGGGTAATAGAAAAAATTAACCATTTGAAATGGGTGCACCAGTGGTGTATGTAAAGAAAGAAGTAATAGAAATCGTGTTTGTGCTGATTTCTCAACTGGATTAAGCTTTTGTTTAGAAACACATAATTACCCCTTGCCAAGTTCAGAATAAATTTTCCTGAAGTTAAATGGTGGAAGAATATCTTCAAAGCTGGATCTCTCTGAAGCATATTTACAAAGTTAAGATTAAAAATGAATGTGCTGAATTAACAACTATAAATATGCACAGAGGATTATATAAGTTTAACTAATTTCTTTTTCGTATAAATGTGGTACCAGCTATTTTTCAACAAGCCTTGGATACCATGGTTGTGCATTGTAACTTTGCAGTGACGTATCTGGATGACATTTGGATCAAAAGTCTATCAGAAGAACAACAAGTTGGACATGTGAAAACAATTTTGAAAAAACTAAGAGAGCATAGATTCAAACTTAGTGAAAAAAAAATGTGAATTATTTGTGCTGAAAATTAAATACCTTGGTCAAATTGATAAAAATGGTAGGCAACCAGATCCAGTGAGAGGAAGTGCAATTAAAAATATGACTACACCAACAAATGTGACTACATTACAAGCTTTTTTAGGACTGATTAATTACTATGAAATTTATGTACATAATATGCATAAATTAAGGGCTTCAATTAACGATCTACTTGAAAAAAGAGTAAAGTGGAATTGGAATGATAAATGTCAAAGTCATTTGATGAAATAAAAAAAAGAGTTACGTCTGATTTATTATTAGCACACTATGACCCAAAAACAGAAATTGTAGTTGTGTCAAATGCTAGTACGTATGGTATATGAGCGGTGATTTTACACAAATACAAAGCCAGTAAAATGAAAGCCTTTACTCATGCTTCACATCATCAGCAAGAGTGAATTTCAAGCATGAACCAGATATAGATGCGAGATATGGTATACCAGATACCATAGTATCTGTTAACTGAATGCAGTTCATGGATAAAGAATTCCAAGACTTTTGTAAGATATTCTCCATTGAACATGTTACAACCCCACCATATCATCCAAGGTTGAACAGACAAATAGAACAGTTTGTAGAAATGTTCAAAAGAGCATTAAACAAAGCAAGTCTTGTGAAATTTAATGAGGAAACACTTCAAAATTTTCTGAGAGTTTACTGGGTAACACCTAAACCCAACACATCACCAGGCATGTTGCGGGCAGAATTAATGTTTGCCAGAAGAGTAAAATTGGTGTTTAACAAATTATTACTAAGTTGAAAAACGCAAATTTAAAAAAAAAAAAAGAAAAAGCAGCACCAAAAGTTTCAAGATTAGCAATAAAGTATTCTTTAGAGCAGGGGTTCTCAACAGGGGTGAAATTGGATTTTCAGGGATGAATTGTGACCACAGTAAGTTTAGGGGTGGAGGAGATATATTATAGAATTTGGCCTATCTGGTCTGTCACCTTGAAACGAGTGGTAGGGGAATGGCATTCTGACAAATGATGTAGAAAGGGGTGCATGGGGCAAGCAAGGTTGAGAACCTTTGCTTTAAAGCAATATAAGGATGGTAAAGAAACATGAGAAGACTGCATAATATCAGCAAAAATCAGGAAATTGATTTACATAGTGAAAGGGAAAATATTTAAACATAAAAGGCACCATAATCAGCAAAAAAAAGAATTCACTGATCAAACACCTGAAATAACCAATAAAAAATGCTATATGACATTTTCAATGTGCCATCACCACAACAAATCATGGAACCTACAAGGACATGTTTAAGAAAAAGAAAGTGTATTAAAGAACTGGAAGTGGATCTGAAACGGAAACGTTACAAAGTCAAGTACATTGGTGAACTGTCCAGAAAGAGGAGGAGGATATACTAATACTAATAAAAAATAAAATGTTTTATAAAAGTATTAATCTCAAAAGGGGGCTGATGTTGTGGAGTAAATAGTACACCCCTGGTGGCTATATGACTACTCCATTACTATAAAGAGCGCCTGGTCAGAAGTAAGACTGGTAACCAGTTGGAGTCGGTCTTCAGACTAACAATACAGAAATTACATATACAGAATCCTTATACAAAATACATTATATAAGTAAGAGTGTGTTATAACAATAGTCATAGAATAGTGGCATTATAATAATATATTTATTGAAATATATTTTAAAGTGGTTTTGTAGAGTGAAAATGGATGATTTTGTTCTTGCAAATATGATATTGTAACAGGAGACAGAAATAAAGTAGGAAATCCGACTTTTGTAACTTGAACCTTGAATGGAAACTAAATTATATTTGCCAAAGCAGAAAAGAAATCCTGGGACATTTGTATCAATGAGTACTGGTTTCATATAATTTACGGTCATATCACGTTGAAATACCAGTTCCTGTACAATCACTGAAGAGAGATTGAAAGTAAATACAATGTATCTAAATACTAATTAGAGACATGCCATAATAGATTGTTCCATCTTAAATAAATCAACAATGTTTTGTAGCAATTTTTAACACATTCAACATTATGGAGAAAAAAATTTTTTTTTTTTTTTTTTTCAAGGCTTAGCAAAATTTGGTTTCAATTGGCCAATGTATGGCTATTTTAGAGGGTATGATGGACGGCCAACCAGAATAATGGAAGTCACAGAATTTGATAGATTTACTCTGCTGCATTTTTACTAGATAGTACATTTTTTTACTTCTCCTTTTGACATGAGGTCATATTTATTCAGTTGCCTATTAGGCAAACACACATTTTTGAAGGATCAGGAATTATACAGCAAAACAGGATGATTGATTGTGGTGACAAAGAAGAAAACCAAGTTTTACCTTGAAAAATAATTTGTGTTCTCTGTGCAGTCTGTTAAAAAAAATCAGAATCATGATCAGGTCAATTTTAATAGGCCTTGAAATATGGTAACTGTTTGCACTTTTACTACCTTGACGAATCGCAAACTTTCCTAACCCCAATGAAAGAATGCTTTGGAACACAGGGAGACTGCTTGGACCTTTTGTGGGTAAGGATGGTAGTTGTGTGTTGCGACGTGAATTTTTACCCCTTTTAATTTACAACCCCGGCATTTTCTGACATTGGACTTACAAGACTGATTTCAGACCCTTGGAATTACAACCTCAGAGGTTTACGGTCACATCACGTTGAAACACTGGTTCCTGTACAATCACTAGAGTTAAGCAATGTTGAGTCAGGTCAGAACCTAGATATGTGATTGCTTGGGTATACCATGTGCTATAAACTTGGCTGTGCAAGTGGTGTAATAGTTAATGGCTTGGCGTTCTTAATTGGAGAGCCCAGTTCCAATTCCAGTTGGGTTTGTTATATTCACTTACACGAAAATACCTTTAAGAAAGTTATGAATCCACCTCTTCTCCTCCCAGCTATGGGTTAATTAGTAAGACTTGTATCACTATAATCATTATTATCTCAAAAAAGTTCTTATGCTCTAAAAATTATTTCTGGCTTCAAATAACCTGCAAAGGGTTGATAAGCCATAAAAAACTGTTATGGACTGTTAGGGGCTAGAAAGAAAGCCACGGAAAGAAGAAGGTAGGTTGAACAAGTGTATTGAAATAACAGAACATATATACAAAATAAGAGCGTTATTAGTCAGCAGATAGAAGTGTCCGTCAAAACTGTCAGGTTACACTACATCCCAACTGCCTACCTTAGGTAGTCTCGCAGGTTAGTATTTATGAAAGAGGAAGAGTTCATTCTAATGTAGATAGGTCACCATAACAAATCAATCAATGAAATACTGATTTCACTACACAGGCATATCTTTTAAATTTATTTACATTCTCAGTTATATAAATGTATAGAAACTACCGTGTTCACAAAGTGAGGGATCAGTTTATATATTGATTGTAATATAGAATCGATCCCCCACTTTATAGCCACGTTATAATTTCTCGTTTGTTTATCAAATTCTGTTTAGATATGAATCCACCGCTTTTATTCCCATCTTTGGGTTAAATCATAAGATTTTTGTATCATTCAACCATTATTATCTCAAAAGGAAAAAATTCTTACAATCTAAAAATATTTTCTGGTTTTAAATAACCTGCAAAGGGTTGATAAGCTGTAAAAAATGAATGAATCAATCCATCACTCAAATATGGATTTGCTACACAGGCATGTCTTTCAGATTTACTTACATTCTTTGGAATATAAATGTATAGAAAATACCATAGCCACAAAGTGAAGGATCAGTTTATATATTAATTGTAATATAAAATTGATCCCCCACTTTATATCCACATTATTAAAAAAAAATTCCTACAATCTAAAAATATTTTGTGTTTTTAAATAACCTACAAAGGGTTAATAAGGTGTAAAAAATGAATCAATTAAATGAACTAAAATTTCTTGGATCTGAATCTCTCTATTTCTATTTCAGTCAGTTATGTGCCATGTGTGATACATACTTAGGTGATCATGTATCTTTCAATACATGACTGATAAGGCAGATTTTTTTCCCCGCAGTAGGTTGCTATTTCTTTCTGCATTAGACCAGTTGCCATCCAACAGAACCTGGTTTGTTCCACTATTTACCCATAGCTGGGAGGAGAAGAAGAGAATTCATACCTTCATATTCATTTCAAAGGCACATAAGGCACATTTCAGTCAGCACATAAGTGAATGTGATGGATTCGACTGGAATTTGAACTCAGCTCTCCGATTCCTCAGTCTGAATAGCTATCCCTTACTCCACCGTGCATCCTCCTATTTACCTGATTGATATTAACAATGATATTGTTCCAGCTTTATACATTGTTTTCTTATCTTTAATAATGAATATCCCTGGATTTGACTTTGTGATTTATATTCTTTCTACGTAGGTGGTGTTTACGTGCGCAAGTAAAAACCAAGTGAGTGATGTATCAGAACCCCAATTATGTCACTACCTTCTCCATTTTGAGACACCACTTGTTTGTCAAAAACAAAGCATGTTTGTTTATCCATATTTAAGTTCCAATCTGAAAGATGCTTGGGATGAAATTGAAGGAGAGCTATTAAGAAAAGAAATTACTGAAAAGGTAAGCAGATATGTATATAAATAATGATAAAAGGTCTGGTGTAAACCATCACTAAATGGCCAATTTCCTCATTAAAAATAATAATGGTAACTTAAGCTGTTATTAAAAAAATTTATTTTAACATAACATTCAAATAGACTTTTGCATACAAGTTAAAAGTTATATTACTATAGGATTTTTTTTTTTTTAAATCTGTATCACCCCATGCAAGGTAGAGCAAAGAGTATTCAGGAGGACAGTAGATAGCAATTGACATTGTATTTAAATTTTTGCAGATTAAAGTTGGCTGGAAAGCATGGATCTGGAAGAGAGTCCACAAGCAAGAAGTGTGAGAAAAGAAACAGTCAGCACAGAATTTAGGATTACATCTAGCCAGCTCAAATGTAATGTGATGGAAGCTTGATGCCAGTTTAGTATCGAGCTTAAATTCATAATGTCTAGGTACCATAATGAAGAGCTCATTCAAATAATTACCATTAAGGTATTTATAGAAAAGGCACAGAGAGGCTACCTTACAGCAGAAGGAAAGTCATTGAAGCCAAGCTGCCAGATTAGGACCAATAATATTGCTGATTCTTCTTTGGATCTTATCTAGGAGCTCAAGGTAAATAGCAGTGACATTGAACCATATGTGGCAGCAATATTCTGAGCATGGATGAATGGCAAACTTATAGATATGGCTAAATTACAAAGTTTATTATCCAATGACTATGAGAGCAATGTCGCCAGGAGTTCAAAACTGGTGACAAGGTCAAAGATGAGAACTCAGACTAAGCGTGACCAACCCTAAAGACACCAATGGTGGAACAAGCGGATAATGATTACAACAGATCTCAACTGTTGAGCCAGCAGATGAAGAGGTCTACACATGACGGACATGCTACAGGAGGTGCCACTTGAAATTCTAACAGAGTCAGTGGTAGTTTCATAACTGGATTCTGCATCTTGTTCCATATGTGTTGCAGAGGAAGGTAATGAAATCAAGTGTGTGGGTCACTCCTGGCAAGTTGAGGTCCACCTTAAACAAATTCACACCATCATCATTTTGAATATAGTCATCAACACCATCATAGAGGAAGCTATCAGCAAAGAAGAAATTAAATTCTTGGATATGAGATAACGCCAATGACAAAAGAAAATAGGAAAAATTTATCTTAGCCAACATGTATTGTTATCAAGGCAAATGTGAGGATTTTATTTTGCAACAAGTATTTATAAACAGAAGCCCAGTTTAGGCACATTTACCATCTATTGAACAGGAGTAGAGGTTTATCCCTTGTTTCCCGTTTAGGATTGGGTTTCTGGCTCCTTCTAAAGTTTTTTAATTTTCTTTCACTCACAGTCACTTCTTGCATTTTAGTGGCATTATTGCTTTGCTTGGGCTGGACTGATTAAAAATAAAGGAAAAGTAAAAATATTGTTAGGTTTTCAAAACTTTTAAATTTAAGAATGCTCTTAAATATTCTTCAGGATGTGAAAGTCAAGGTAAACTATGGAGGACCCTAAGTGATATAGTTTAATGCCTAATCATAAATGTTGCTGAATTTTTTTTCTTAAATTTAAAAATTTTGAAAATCTAACAATATATTTACTTCTGTTTATAAATACTTACCTTATGTTTGATAGAGTCCATCTGAGGATGAAATGCATTGGTAATGAATAGTTTTCCTTTTGTCTTCATTCATATTGTCTTTTTACAGATATGTTTTTATTTATATCTAATTTTTATATATATATATATATATATATATATATATTTTTTAAAGAAAGGAATGGATTTTTCAATTTATAAATCTGACAGATTTTTATTATCTAAACATTATTTTTAGTGGATACTGTTGGAGTGTGTATATTTTTCTAATCAGGCCGGTAGATAAAAATAAATAAATATACTGTTTAATAAATAATACTATTCAAATACAAGTATCCCCTAAAAAATAATGTTTTGTAAATTTTTTGTAGGAATACAAAATGTATTTTTAGGAGCACTTGTTAACCAATTCTTAAAGACATTCATTATCATTATAAGAGACTGTTGAAAAATTCTTTACAAGAGCAAGAAATGATTCAAGAAAAATATTCTCATTTTCGGTCCGCTTTCAAGAAGTATCTTTTCATGACTATTGAATTTCTTCTTTGTGTAGTTTTTGTTGTTGCAGCAATGTTTGCGTGGTTGCATTCTATGGTTGGCTTCAAGTGTGCAATCTCAATGAAAGATATGTTTTAATTTTGTAAAGGTCATTATCATTCCAAAAGTTTTTCAAACTACTGAACTCCTTCTTTGTGTTGCTGTTGCTACAACTCTTTGGTTGATCCAATCTGCAGCCTGCTTAAGAATAAATTAATTTGTCCAAACAGTATTTGGAAAAAATAATAAGTAGGTGATGAATTATTTTCCCCTCTGCAACCCCTTTCTCACAGGTGAGACATCGTAAGCCTCTCGCTGCTTTATCGCTATTTCCATGGTGAGTGTTCAGATGAACTACACTCCTTAGTTCCACTAGTACTAACCTTCATGGCTCAGACCCACTATGCCATGCATACTGTAGTGAATCACCCTCATTCCTTTCATGTCCCCCTGGTGAGATGTAAGTTCCACTCAAGCAGCTTCTTCCCACGAACCACTGCCTTATGGAACTGACTCCCAAGAGGATGCTTTCCCAATCAATACCATCTTAATCTGTTCAAGTCTAAGGTTAATTGTTATCTTCCTAAAATATTTGCATAAGCTTCACCTCTTACACTGTAATCCTCTATCTTAAGTGGCTCCAGTGGCTTGTACAGGGGGAACACCACTGTATAAAAAAAAATAAATAAATAAATAAAAAAAAAGAGAGAAATGAGAAGGACAAGTCCTCACTTCATGGGGAATACCTATAGGACCACAGCCTCATCACACTAGGGTTACTGCTATGGTTTCCATAGTAAGTAAGTTTTTTTTTATGGAATTGAATGATTAGCCCCATGACTAACCAGTTTTCAGTTCAGAGATATCTTTCTCCTAGACTGGTTGCCAACCAAAACTAGAGAGCTCATTTTGACTTGCTATTTAACTCCTTGTGTTGGGGTAAAGAAATGGGTTCATACCCCCTCCCCCTTGGGAAAAGTATTTGTGCAAAAGTGAATGCAATGACCCCGGCTTGAATTTGAACTCACCATACCAGTTCTACTAAAGAAAGAATAAATTAATTTGTCCAAACAGCACTTGAAATAATAATAAGAAATACGAGGGACAGGTCCTCACTCCATGGGGTATACAGATAGGACTATAGCCTCATCACACTAGTGTTACTGCTATGGTTTCCATAGTAAGTTTTTTTTTATAGAGTTGAATTCAGTTTTCAATTCAGAGATATCTTTCTCCTAGACTGGTTGCCAACCAAAACTAGAGGTTGTGGTTTAAAGTGGGTTTAATGTCTGTACTGTGGAAAAATTCCCAAACCCCCTCAGCTCTTTCGCAAATTCAGCCCCCTCCCGAGGGAGAGGTACTGCCTGAGGGGAAAGCCCCCTTGGGCTTGGGCTTTAATAAACAATATAAATCCCAGCCAAAGGCAAATGGATTAATAAGCATGCATCAGTATGCCCACATTACAATCAGATGTGACACAAGATTGCAGCTTAAAGTGGGTTTAACGGCGAGACCATGGGAAAATTCCCAAGCACCCTCAGTACATCCCCTTTTGGGGAAGTCTCAGACTCCAGACAATAAATCCAGCCCCCTCCCAAGTATAGAGGTACTGCCTAGAGAGAAAGCCTCTTGAGGTTTGGGCTTAATAAAACAGCCGTCCCTACCCTGGAAAGGTATATTGTGCAAAAGTAAATGCAATAACCTTGGCTGGAATTTGAACTCACCATTCACACAAGTAAATGTTATGCTACATGCACTTCCATGGAATAATAATGACCTTTCTCAAAATTCTAAACCAAAATGATTCATTCTTCTTTTAGTTATTTTGGATTTTTTTCTCCCAAGTCCACGATGTCTTACTTTATCACTTTTCTGAATTGAGATAATGTTTTCATTTCAGGGTTATAAAAAAGAACTGGTGAAAATATTCACTGCAGCAGGATTCTTCTTGTCAGATGAAACTAAAAAGGATTTGGCTAAGAACATTTCAAAGAAAACTGCTGATAATGAAAAAACAGAAACCAAATTTGAATCTCTTGAAAAATGTTCAGCTGTGAGTATCTTTTGCATTTTTTATTCAAAATATATTTCTTTATATTTGTGCAGAACAAATCAGCTTTCACCATAAGTGTGCAGATAGATTTAAAACCTTTAGATTCTAATATTTATCTAAAATATTGATAAAGCATGACTAATAACATTAGATGCAGTGTAAATGTAAGGTAAATTCCTTTTTTAAATTAATGTTCACCCAATATAAGACCCAAGGGCCACTCAAGCTATAGGGTTACTTTGTGGTGAAGAATTAATATTTATTTAGGGGTTCATTTAGATTCAGTCAGTCAGACAAGTGTCATATGTGATACACGCTTGGCAATCATGTCTCTTTCAACTCATGACTGTAGGTTGCTGTTTCTTTCTGTGGTAGACCAGTTGCCATCCAACAGAACCTGGTCTGTCCTGCTATTTACCCATAGCTGGGGGTAGAAAAGATGGATTCTTACCTTTCCAAGGGTATTTGCACATAAGTGAGTGTAATGAAACTGACTGGAATTTGAACTCAGCTCTTCGATTTCTCATTCTGAGTCACTATCTATTACACCACAATACACATCTAGATTAACCTTAAAAAAATTTGGTAGGGAATTTTCATCATCAGTCTCCTGACCAGGTATGGTCATAGGGTCATACTGCAGATGAACACCTGGGCAGCTCCCTCCATGTGTCTCAGTTGTGTACCAATGTCAGAGTCTCTATGAATGATATTTCAGTCCACTCAGTGATGTTGTCAGCCCATTTTCTCCTGTCTATTTCTTCTTTTGCCTAAGTGGTACCTTGTAGGATGACAGTGGAAAGATTGTTGGCTAATATGATGTCCATACCATTTCAGTTTTCTCTTCTTGATGATGGATATGAAATCTTCCCACAGACCTGTTTCTTGTCTGATGAGGTCTACATAGGAAATGCCTAGAATAGTTCTGTAGTATCTCATTTCTAATGGTATGCATAGATATGAGAATAGTAAGCACCTCTCAGCTTGGGTATATTAGAGTAATGAGGTTTAATAATAACATATGGGTAAGTCACCATATAATGGGTGATTATGGAAAGTAGGTTTATTCTCCTGTTTTGTATTTTCCCCGTTTATTGGCAATAATTATTCAATATAATCAAAGTGACTTCAGATAGGCTATTTTAATGAAACATATTCATGCCAGGAGAAATATTTAGAAATCATATTTATCACTATCAGTCCCATCACCGGGTATGGTTTTAGGATTGCTGTCCAACTGATCACCTGACCAGCTCTCTCCATATGCCTCAGTTGCATGCCAATGTCTGAGTCTCTATGAATGACCTCCCAGTCCATCAGTCTGGTTGTCACCTCATTTTTTTCCTCTGTCTCCTCCTTCTTTTGCCTGTGGAACCTTGTAGAATGACAGGGGAAAGATTGTTGGCTAATATGACGTGTCCATACCATTTCAACTATTGTTGGATATTGGTTGAGGAAAGACTTTTGGCCTTACTTCTACTGCATCAGTGTGTGAATGGAAATCGGAACTGGTGATAGCATAAACATGAAATGCATCCAGTGACTAAAATAAACAGGATGTACAGATGTCCTGAGCAGAAGGAAATGCATGCTTGCATGGTCGCATGCTTGAAGAGGCATGGCCACACAAAGTTGCGTAGGTGACATACTGGAAGAGGGTGTAGCCATGTAATGTTGCATAGGCATTCAAATGTTGTATAACTGGTCTGATTCTTGATCTGGACAGAAAGGCTGGCTAGAGGTTCACCAAAGATTTGTCTCTGTCAATTCCTGTGTTCACAATCAAAATCTTTTTGATTCTGCTTCACTCTACCCTTTCGCCACAACTCAAACAATAATGATATTTCTATATTTTTATATATATGTTCAATGCCTCATTTGAGCCCAGCAGCAATATACAACACTATGTAATCTTCCAATAAGGCTGTTTCTTGTCTGATAGTGTCTTGCACTCTACCATTTGTGATACAGTCTGCATAGGAGATTCCTAGATTAATCCTATAGAATCTCATTTCTAATGTTTGGATTCTTTAACAATCTCAAAATAAATGAATTCAACATTTATTTACTTCACTATTAAAAAACATAAGAACAGAAATGGAGCAAACTTGGACCTTCGTACCCACAATAAAAATGAGGTGTCAAAATGATTGTTTTTCTCTTGATACTGATATTATTTTAATTATCTTCACACTTTGGCAATGCTTATTGTTTTAAAAAGTGATTTGAATGAAGTCTAAACATATAATATGTTCTTCCCTGGGCTGGAATTCTCAGACAATGAGACTACTGGCGAACTTGACTGCTTAGAGAATCGCAGTCTCATCATGTTGAATTCTCAGATATGGATACCCAGAGAGGTACACTTTTCTTACAGATTCTCACACTCAAACAACATTTGATTAATTGGAAGATTTTCTTAGCGGTCTCAACTCAAAAGTTTAAAAACAAAAAGTTCTTCAAAAAATAATTATTAATGCTTTGGCCCATCTTTGTTTTTTGGACATTAAAAAATAAAGAATTGTGTAAACATCTTGTTTTTTTGTTTTTATAAGAAGATTCAGAATGGCAGATAAAACTTGGTTGGCAAAGTTTAACCTTTGTGACTGCCAAAAAATAGTGTTTCAAAAGGACAGTTTTTCACTTAACACTGCTATTATTTTAAATACCATCAATCTTTGCCAATGTTTATTCTTTTAAAAGTGATGATTAGAATTGTAATAAAACCTAAACATATGATGAAAGTGCATTTATACATTTTTTTTGTTCTTGAGAATTGACAACAAAAATAATAAATACTATTTATTTATTAGATTATTTATTGCAATGGTTGGCAAAGACATAGGCTAATATCCAATCAATTTGAACTTTATAAACTAGTAAATAATAATATTTAATAACTTAATAAATGGTTATAAGTTTAGGAATAAAGAATTGTTTTCATATTTATTTCTTTATAAATTGGTCAATGATAAATATTGCATGGCATTAGTTTTAATTGTATTAGTTTTCAGAATGTTGCAAATATAAAATAATTCTTGTAAATAAACAATCTAATAAATAAATAAATAGTATTTAACCCTACAACACTAACCATGGGTATATAGTACCCAGCGCAAATTTTCCTATTTTTAATTACAATTTTCAGTACCTGATTTTCTTACCTAAATAATATGTTTTTCAATTCCTATTAATGTTAACTCAAAGTACAAAGTTTGAAGTGCCTGCATGTAAAATATTTCAAATAAAGATTTATATTTAATATTTTTTTGATATTTTCAAAATTGGGTATGATATACCCATGGTTAGTAGTGGTGTAACTTTAATTGATGGTTAGTGTTCTAGGGTTAATATTTCTATTGTAAATTCTCATGAACAAAAAAGAATGTATAAATTCACTTTCATCATATATTTAGGTTTTATTCCAATTCTCATCTTTGCTTTTTAAAACAGTAGACATAGAAGTGAAAGTAATTAAAATAATAATGGTATCAATAAAAAAAAATATCCTCTTGACTCTACATTTTTTGCAGGTATGTAGGTCCTAGTTTGGCAGAAATGGTTTATCATGTTAATATGTTTCCTCAAAATAATAATAGACGCAAAATAAGAACAAGATGATAAAACAAAGTAAGATTGTAACCCTCTAGTAAGTATCTGATTAGTATCTGCTATACTATATCTTTACAAGTACTATGATATCTGGAGCTACCATCCTCACTTACCTGTCTTGATAGAGTTCATCTATGCTTCCTTATGGGTGACAAATTATTTTCCACCCTACAACCCCTTTTCCCACAGGCAAAACATTGCAAGCCTGTTGCTGCTCTATCACTATTTCCACATTATCTGTTCTGATGACCTATCTTCCTTAGTCCCACCACGCCCTGACCTTTACAGCTGGGACCCACAGTGCCATGTATACAAGCATGAAATATCCCCATTCCTTTTGTATTCTAATAGAAAGAAGAAAGTTCCATTCAGACAGCTTTTTCCCAAAATCTGACCAAAAGACCAAACAATGGAATAGTTTTTGGAAAGGCTTCTTTGTCAGCATACTCTCATATGTAGTAATTCTTGGGGAGGATCATTTTATTACTTAATAACAATAGAAAGGTGATTCCCAAATTTATGTCCTATATAAACATATATCTACCACATGGAGTTGCTGAAAAGTTCTTGACTGAAACCACTTCACAAAATCTGACCAAACATTGGAATTGTTTTTGGAAAGGTTTCTTTGTCAGCAATCTCTCATGTGGAGTTTTTGAAAAGTTCTTGATTCAAATGACTTCGAGCTGAATGACCAACCATTAGACTGAATACTTCTCAGCAAACCCTTGTATATAAAACTTGAACACTATCAATGGTATTCTTCAAATTCTCAAGAAACCTTTCCAAAACCAATTGCAATGGTTAGTCATTTGTCAGATTTAGGGAAGTGGGTTTGACTGAAAAATTTTCAGCAAACATTAGAATTTAGTATAGAGAAGAAATAAAACATTAGAATTTAGTATAGAGAAGAAATAAAATTTTAAGTTCAAGGTAACTTTCTAATATTTGTTATACATAATATCTATTTTTACTTTTTTTTTTTTTTTTTTTTTTAAAGGAATACACAAGATTGCTAGCAGAAATGGAAGGCCTTCGGACATTGATTTCATTAACTGCTCGCTTGAAAGAACAGGAAAGAAAAGGTAAGTGTCCACATGAAATATGTCTTATTTTTATTCTGTTTATTTTTTTTTTTTAAACACTTGGCACCATATGGTAAAAACTAAACAAAATTCACCCAAATAGATTCTTGAACACATAATGAAATGTCAATTTTCATTTCTTTTTTATTGGGTAGCTCAAAAATTTGACATTTTGAAAATGCCAGATATTCAGCTGTTGTGGGTCAGGTTGAACATTTAATCACATTCTGATATTTAGCCACAAAACACTCTTGATGCAATTAATATTTATTAGATTTATATCAAATAGGAACAGACCAGGTACTTGTTTTGTTTTTTTTGTCACAGAATATTACAGTATTCTGTGTTATATAACTGTAAGAGTTCTTGGATTGCAAAGGAAAATATTTGACATAAATTACTTCAACAAGGAAAAGAACAAATCACTGTAAGTTCAAACTCGAAGATCAGGAGCAGAAAGAAATGTCAAAATCTCGATTTGCAGGTACCATGTCACAAATCACAATGCACGTAACCAGTCGGAAAAATAACTCACTCACTGATGACTGCTACGATCATTAAATACATGAAGTTTGTCTTTTTTTTCTCCCCGATTTGAGAACAATAACTGCTTTTATCAGCCGAGCATTTTTCCATTCGTCAACAACTGAGAAAGGACACACAATATTAGCGTATCAAAATATTTTTATGGCGACTCCTGTGACTGACTTGTTTCTAATTTAAATATTCTGTCTTCAGCATATCATGTAGAATACATGCCCTTTTTTTCGGCAAGTAACTTTCTTTTTTGCCACATTTTCCTTTGTAGAATACACGCGACATGCTTTGCTTGGTTTGACAAAGTAATTTTGCTATAATAACACACACACACTGCCTTATTCATATTTAATAACAGTTTTTTATTGTTTATTTTTATTTTATTAATGTTCACCCAATACAAGGCCCAAGAGCCACTTAAGGCAGAGGGTTACTGTGTAACCATAAAGTGCAAGAAGTGAAGTTCTTGGGGCTATGAATGAAGCTTTCCAAATGGGACTTACTTCTTACAAGATACAAAAGGAATGGAGATGATTCATTCTTGTGTACGTGGTATGAGCAGGTCCCAGTTGTAAAGGTCATGGGTGGTGGGATTAAGTAAATTTATAAATTGAAGTTCATGGTGCTATGCTGGAAAGACTTAAAGAGGTTAGGATTGTTATGAATAGAAAACATTCTACAGGTAATTAGTCCTGGGTATAATGATAAACATATCCAGCAGTAAGGGAGATTGAAGGTTTTGAGGAGCGTGGAACCACCTCTTAATTGCTGGTGTTCCCAGGTCCACCCTGACCTGGGATGGTAGCACCTGTCAGGGTCCCAGCTATGGGCAAATAGTTCCCCCCCCCCTAAACAAAAACAAAATGCTATGCAATTATAAAAATACATTTTTATAGTAAAATTACCAGCAATATATTTTTTTAAAACATTACCAAGAATACCTATTTCTAGTAAAATCACCAACAATACATTTTATCTGTAGTTGAAGACATTTGCATTCAAAATAAGCTATAAAACTGTGTTCAAAATACTTAGATTTTGGCATTAAATAACCCATACAGGTGTTGATATGCCACTAAACTAAATCAGCCAACCAAACAGCCAACATAAAAGAACTCTTTCATGATATTAATCCATATAATATCCTACAATTTCTGAAAGTAATCAAGCTGTATTTCAAAATAGAACTTCAACAAAACTACAAAATAAAACAAACATATCGCACTCTCTAGTAATTATGTCCACACAAACATGCATTAAAGCTGAGTATCATCTACCATGTATTCAAGTATGAAGGCAGAATAACATTTTTTATTATTTTAAAGCTCTCAAAAAAATTAAATTTTGATATTAAATGACCTATAAGGTGTTGATGCACCATTAATCAAATCAAATCCTACAGGTAGTCTGTTCCACAAAGCAGCAGTTCGTGGGAAGAAGCTGTTTGAATGGAACTTACTATTGGAATATGAAAGGCATGGAAATGTTTCATCTTTACATAACTGCCGAGGTGGGTTCCACTTATAAAGGTCAAGGGTGGTGTGACTAAGAAATGTAGCTCATCAGAACACATGCCATGGTAATAGCAATAGAGTGGTGAGACTCACAATAATTTTGTTTGTGGGGAAAAAATGGTTGTAGAATGGAAAGTAACTCATCACCCACAAGGCCGCATAGAAGCTTTTGAACACACTTGCCAGTCTTGATAGACAAGGCAAGTGAGGACTGGGCAACTCCAGCTCAGATATGGCAACAATAGTCCATTTTTTGGTGTGATCTGTAAAGAGAGTATAGCAGGGGGGAGTCAGTAGACAGTATTATGGAGATTAGCTTTATGATAGTTAAAATATTGACAAGTATTGAATTTAACAAGTTTTTTGTTAATTTTAATGCCTCCAAAACGAAACTGCTTTCTTTTAATCATATTAGAGAACATTTTTTGCCTTCCATCAATATGGCTGATGTTAACCTCCAGGAGAGTGACTTGTTGTGCTAACATTTTCTGCTGACATGAAGTGGGAAAGATTATATTGAATCAATTGCTTTACCTGCTGCTCAGAAAGTCGATTCACTGTGTCGCGCTAGACAATTTTCTCTTGCCAGAATCTGTTTTACATATTTATAAGTCTACCTTTTATCCATGCATTGAATATTGCTGTCACATCTGGTCTGGTGCTTCTGCTATATATTTAGAGATTCTTGATAAAATCAGAAAAAGAATCTGTAATGTTATTGGTCCTGACCTGGCATCTCAGCTTCAGTCACCAGTGTGATGTAGCTTCCTTGTGAATTTTTTATAAATATTTTTTTCTTTCCAGTCAATTTTGATCTTCAAAAATTTAAATTTAATATCAATTGTTATCTTCTCTCATTTTAACTCCTGTTTTATTGATCTCTCTCATTAATAATGTTTTGTTTTTTATTATATTCTTTCACACACAGTAAATCCTTGCATCTTAGGGGTTTTATAGCCTTGCTTGGGATGAAATGATAAAAAAAAATTATTAGATTTTGTTTCTGATGCTGTAGTTACTTTTAAATTTCACTTATTTGTATTTAATGTTTAAAATAATCTATTACATTTTTTGGTAAAGTTTAACTCAGGACTAAGCCAAAAAATACAGTGTGTCAAAAGAATGTTTTTTCTTTTGACATCACTAGGACCATGTACACACTTGGCCATTTTTTTTTAAATATGTGTTTTTAGAATTGTAATAAAACCATTGAAGTTTGATTTATACATATTTTTCTGAAGAAATGACAACGAAAATGGTAATCACTATTTATTTATTCAAATGTTAACTTGAAAGATGTGGGAATAATAAAAATAGAGAATTTAATTTAATTTTTGAACTAAAACAATAAATTATTTATTTACAAGATTATAAAAATATTCTCATAGTTCACTATAAGAATAATTTTGTATTAACAGGATTATAAAAAATATTAACAAACTATAATACAAGGATATATTTTTATCGATAAAATTATAAATGTCTGAACAATAAAGAAAATTTAAATTCAATAAAAAAAGCTGAGTATCATCTACCACGTATTCAATTGTGAAAGTAGAATAACAAATTTTTATTACTTCCAAGCTCCCAACAAAATTAAATATCAGCATGAAATGACCCATATAGAGTTGATATGGCCGTAATAAAGTAATTGAAACTCCCTTGTTTCATGATTACCTCCCTTTAGAGAACTCTTTTGTTTGTAGAGGACTATAAATAGTCGCTATTCTTGTATCAGTTATTCTAAGCAGAATAAACCTTCTTTAAGCCTTCTATTGTTCTCTTTTGTTATTACAGTGACATTAAACAAATCAAATTAAATATCGGAATGTTACAAAGCATTTCCCAATAAACTAGGTCTTCAAATGTTATACTCTGCTGCAATTAGATCTTCTTCTGATTCAATTTACATGTCAGCTAGATGTGAACGCTAAGAAAGGAAAACACAAAATAAGAAAAAAGTCGTTTTCTGTGCAGGGGTTCTGAGCATCACATCCAGTTTACAAAACAAATCCCTGCAATAAAATATAATAGTCAATCATGAAAGTGAAAAATAAAGCAAGAAAATTTAAAACAATTTACTTTATTAAAAAATAAATTTCTTTACGATTTACTTTATTAAAAACAAAAAACTGGTTCATATTTTACACAATGCCTTTTCAAATGCCTTATTTGAAAAAAAATATTCACTAATTAGGGTTTTAATCCTTAATAAATTACTTTTATTCACTTATAAAAAAATGTTGTTTTTTCTGGTTGTGCTGGTGCTCAGTCAGCAGTGTTGAGTTACCCTGTACTCCTGATAGTTTACTGAAAACCTGAATTTATCTGATACCTTAACTTTTCATATCAATCCTGGGAGATATTCTTTAGCCTCTCTTTTGGTGGGGAGGAAATAGTAAATATTAATCTGGTGTTAAAACTGCAGCTCTCAGTTCCTTTACACAAATGTAACATTTATTCTACCCTAGCTAATATCTGTTTCATATCAATTTTCTTTATTTTATTGCAGAAGACGAAGAAACTCCTGGTTACAAAAGCGAGGTCAGTATTTATTTTATGCTTGAAATATTTCCTTTTTTCCTAGAATTTATATAATTGTTTACAAATAAGGAGAACAACTACGTAATTAACAGTTAATAGATCTGAAGTTTTGTCCCTTAGACTAGTGATGACCATATACAAATTGCATCTATATTTCTGAGATGAGGTATTGTAATTTATTTGTGCTATTTATATTGTTCAGACTGTTGTACTTGTCTCTGTTGCCATATTCATGACGTTTCGCCTGTTGAATGCTCCAGCCTTCTTCCAAGGCAAGAAATATAAAAGAGAAAAAAGCTGCCTACTTAAGATAAAACTGCAGGAACACCATAAAGCCAGAACATGATGGGAAAAAAAAATCAATCATGGCTGAGCAGATATGGAGGGAAACGGGAGAGCACCGCCCCCTGTGGGATGAAGTTGAAATAATAGAGAACATCACTGGAAAATACGAAAACTTAAGGAATCAGCATATATGCTAGGCCACAAAAAACTGCTAAGCTGGCCAAGTATAGACATGAATAAAATATAGGACCCAGTAATATGGAGTGCTAGAGAAAAAACAATAATGACAACAAATTATAATATGAGCTCTAGTAAAAATGGTTACAGCGACATTAGGCTTATAACAATGGCCAATGTCATAAATATGGCAACAAAGATGAGGACAACAGTCTGAATAATGTAAATAGTGTAAACAAATTGGATCATCATCAATCTTAACATAAATAGACCTCACACTATTAAGTTGCAAACAGAACTAGAAATTGTTTTATTTTTCATATTAGAGCATTTTAATTATACTCTTCTTTTTTTTATATACCATGTCTCTTCAAGGCATGTGTGGTCATGGTTCTCTTCAACTTCCTATCCTTTGTAGCTTTTAACAATATTTGTCTTTTTACTGTAACTTTTTTTAAAGTAACATATCTATATATAAATAAATGCAAATGTCAGTGTGTCAGACTTTTTCAACTTTACTCCGAGAAGTCATAGCCCAACATATCATACCATTTTGGAATCAAGTTAACTTTGTGAGCAAATTAAAAACATTCCAGGCCAGATCCGGACTTGCCATCCTGAAATTTGGGATTCTCAAGTTTTCATAACTGCAATTGTTTTCAGCAATTTTTTTATATGATTTTTTGTGACAAATTTTTTTGTACAATAATTTTTATAACTTGGAAATAAATTTGGGGATAATTTAAATTAATTGCAAAATCCAGCAAAAGTCACCCATGAATTAAAAATAATTGTTTGTATGGAAAGTAAGGACCTATGTACATCAAATTGTCTTTAAATTAAGTATCGACAGAAGAATTATTGTTGAACTTTTAAAAGGTAAGCTTAAATATTAATGCAATACTTAAATGCAGCGATCAATTTTGAGTTCTTCTGTAGTTTATTGTTGCATATCACATATGGCAGTGGTATGCCTCATGAAAAGAAATTTCTGCCAAGAGAGGACTAGATTGCAATCAAAAGAGCCAAGGCTCCAGATCAAACAGTAGCCAAAAAAGTTTTCGCTGCTGGGAATATGCAAAGACTTAGGGACTCTCAAACTCCTGAACAAGCCAAAGTTCCAATCAAGAGCCCTCTACAAGAGCAAGCTTTAATGCCACCTGATATTGCGGCTTTTAAGCTAGTTTATGATAAATGTGTTATCTGTGAATAAATTCGATAGATTTATCTTATGCTGATCACCAGATCTGTATCTGAAAATAAGTCATTGAACTTTTTCTTTATCTATTTGGGAAACTTTAACCTTTGTGCCTGCAAAAAATGGAGTGTTAAAAAGGACGTTTTTTCCTTTGACACCACTATTATTTTAATTACCTTCACTCCTTGACAATATTTATTGTTTTAAAAAGCAATCATTAGAACTAATAAAACCTAAACATTTCACTTACAAGTCTTGGGTCAAAGGTGCAACACATTGTGATTGCCTCCCCAGACTGACAACATCAACAAGTCACATTCCTGACAAATTGACAACAGTGAAATTCAAACTTGGGTCTCATGGTTAAAAAGCAAACATTCTCAGCACTCTGTCATGAGTCCATATATAAATACACACACACGCATATATATATATATTATATACACATTTAAAGTATGCTATATTTATCAGTAACAATGCTCATTATCAGAGGAGATAGAGAGTATGTAAATATAAAAGTGAGCACTGAGGACATCACCGAGTGATAACAGTCTGTTTCATGCTTGAATACAATCTTCAGGCCTGTAGATGACTTTCAAGCATGAAAATTTGGTTTGACCTTACTGTCCACTTATACACACACACACACACATATATATATATAAAATTATTTATTTAAAAAAAAATTTTATAGCATAAATATGTTATAAAATCACATAAATAAATGTTATAAATATGTTATAAAATGTTATAAATATATAAATAGCCATTTTGTTTCAGCACCCTCATTGTCTTATCAACATCATCACCGAGGATGTTGAAACAAAATGGCTATTTTTGGAGTGATTTTATAACATATTTATGTTATAAATTTTTTTTTTTTAAATAAATAATTATATCTGCTCTACTTTGTATTGAGCACTCTTTTAAGAATAGTAAATGTTTGTTATTGGAATTCATTCTGTATACACCAATTATATACTTGTGTATATATATATATATATATATATATATATATATATATATATATATATATATATAAAATTGTGTATTTAAGCACCAATCCCTTTTTTATACAAGTTTCATTAAAAATGACTGACAAGGTACTGTGGTTAAGTTTTTTATTTAATTTTTCTAGTGTTCTTATAATTTTCTTCTTTTTTGGACATAAAGTATGTAGAAATTATCTGAATATTCTAGTGCTTTCGGCTATACTTTAGCCATTATCAAGGATGATTTTTTATTTTTACTTTTAACAATGTATGAATTCTTTTATGTGTGCATCTCAAGTTATAAAAATGTTTTATTTTCCAAACACGGTCAGCATATTGTGGCTGTGTTCATAGTTGATGTTATTGAGTGTTGGCTGGTAGACAAAAATAAATAAATATACTGCTTAATAAATAAATGGAGTCTCTACTCAAATATGATTCATCACAAGAAAAGAAAAATGTTTAAAGTGATCAAAATCTGTCAGATTGATAAATAAAATTCATTACCTTAGTAAATTATATATATATATATATATATATATATATATATATATATATATATATACACACACACACAGTACGAGGCAAAAAAAATGGACAAAAAAAGTTGATTTTTGTATTTTTACCAAGACAATTGGGTAATAGAATTCATTTATTAATTCAGGATATTAATAATATAATAGCTAGCCACTTGTATTCAAGGATACCTTTCTACTATGGCGGCTAGACAATCCCTATTACAGAGGCTCGCTCAGGCACATTTGTGTTTGCTCAACACCCACAGAACTAACCTGTAGATTATACTGCAACTATGCTGAGCAGACCTTAGTTACAGTTTCTGGGAGAGATCTAGCGTGATCAATAATTTGAACAAGGCCAGCACACTCAAGCCCTCGGCAACAATGACTTATGGCTTCATGCTAGCACAGCTATTGATGGTCCACAAGAGCTCCGTCTACCCAATTTCACTCACAAGGCTTGAGTCAACCCATGGTATGGTTTTCAGGGTATTAATACAAGTGTACATATGTATATTATACAAGTCAAAAATGATTTAGTATTTTGTTAGTTAACCTTATGCTTTAATAATTACCAACTCTTCCAGTGGCCTAGTCAGAGTCCTGACCATAACCCAATTGAAAACCTTTGGGCAATAATCGACAAGCATGTCTGTAATAGGAAAGTTAACACAGAAGATGAGCTTTTTCAGAAATTAAAGAAATGCTGGAAAAATCTGACAAAGGATGTACTTACTAAAAAATTTAATCTATAGCATGCCACAAAGAATTAAGGCGAATATTAAAGCAAAAGCTTACCTAACAAAATACTAAATCATTTTTTGACTTGTATAATGTACACCTGTATTAATATCCTGTATTAATAAACGAATTACTCACCTGTCTTGGTAAAAATACAAAAATCGAGCATCCATTTTTTTTGCCTTGTACTGTAATATATGAAAATTTCTCCGATTTAACCAGTAGAGAAGACAATATTTATGAATAAAAATGACAAGTTTTCCTATTATCATTTTTATTCATAATATATATATATATATATATATATATATATATATATATTGCATCCATTGCTATGTCAGCTGCTAAGAAAGTTGGTTCACTGTGTCATGCTACACAATTTTTATCCCCTGAATTTATCTTACATATTTCTAAGTCTACCATTCATCCATACTTTGAATATTGCTGCCACATATAGTCTGGTGCCCCTGCTGCATATTTAGATATCCTTGATAAAATCCAAAGAAGAATCAGCAATATTATTGGTCCTGATCTGGCGGCTCAGCTTCAGTCACTTTCCCATTGCTGTAAGGTTGCCTCTCTGTGCCTTTTTTAATAAATATTTTCATTGTAATTGTTTGGATGAGGTCTTCACTAGTCTTACCTAGACTTTATGAATTTAAGCATAGTACTAGATTGGCAACAAAGTTTCATTTTACAATTGAATTGGCTAGATGTAACTATAAGTTTTATGCTAACCGTTTCTTTTCGCACTTGTGGAACTCTCTTCTAGCTCCATGATTTCTGGCTAACTTTGATCAAAACTTTTAAATGTAATGTCAATCATTATTTACTGTCTTCCTGATCCTTCTTCTGCTGCTCCCGTAATGTTTCTATTTTTTTCAATTTTTTTCACACCTTGTGCCAAAGTGGGTTTGCTGCCTTTGCTTGAGGTAAATCTGATTTAATATATATATATATATTTAAATTGTATTGAGTTCTCTGGGTCACTAGCGTGTTTATGAAAAAATAAATACATAAAAATTCACCTCTCTCTCTGCTGGGCATCGATAACCTAGGTTGTGTTTCAGTCCTGGCTTGAAGCAATTC